ATTTCATATCTTTGTTCCTTACCGGCACCACGGAATTTTTGGTCGCATTTATTGATTCTTCCGCGATATCTTCCGTCTTACTCTCCGATCGATTACTAATCAATTTATTAATGTCAATGCTAACCGATGGACTCAGTGGATGCGCAGATTCTTTTTCTGTCATGTTCTCAATACCTGTTAGTTTGACAAATTTATATTATTTTTAAATTTGAATTTCTATCCAATAATATTGTTATATATTCTCAAATTTAGATCTATGAACTTAATTGTTAGTCTACATAGGAGACTCACCGGGAGTCTCCAACAAGGATGCCTTCAAAGTGCCGGGTTCAGCAGGTTGCGCGGGATGCGATCCTTCCATCGCGGCCTCGCTGACATTCTCGTTGGACGTACTTGCAGGCATGTGACGACGCTGCCTCTTACTAAGGGACTTCGCGATCGTGTTGCAATCACTGGGCAAATTCGCGAGAGCGTGAAATACTTGCCGTTTGCGTATTATAGTATAAACTAAGTTGCTATTTCCATCAAATTGATACTGAAAATCGAAAATAAATGGTAAGTCTAAATTTATATTATTTATTTATAATATAATAATAGTATAAAAACTGACCCATATTCCATAAACTATACATGTAACAAAATTAATAACTAAACATTCAGATAATTTCTATTCCAAAACATGCAAAAATATTTTTCTTCCCATTAATTTTAATAAAACAAATTTATTAGAAAATGTAAAGAAGTAAATTATAAAATAAATAAAGGAAAGATTAGTTCTTTTTCTAAATTTGCGAACGATAATACTACATAAATTACACTTTTTTTACACTTTTAAACATCTTGTATAATTGAAAAAAATAGATTATATATTGTGTGATTGTATAAATGTACATTTAATTGTGTGTGTGTGCATTTTGCAAGCGTATTACCTGAATAATATTGTTAAAGATCTCGAGCAAAAAGAACACCAAATGGTGATTAGTGGGTGCTGAGAAAAGGAACCACGGTGTACTAAATGCCTCCAACAAATGTAGCAGTTTTGTGCTAGCCACCATAGACAATGTTTTAAGGTACGGCGACACATTGACTAGAATCGTTAGTAGACAGTCGAATAACGGTTGCAATCTTTGATGACCGGTCGTGATGATTTTATGAAATACAGTGACTAAGAGATCAGCATGCGTTCCTGAAATGAAATTATTATCATTTTTAATATTGACAATTTAATAATTAATGATTTTAATAATTTACTTTACAATTAAAAATATAAATCTGCAATCAAATACTCTATTAAATACGTTTTTAAATTAATATATTTAAAATAGTCTTCTGATTCTTAAAAACGGTATATATAATTATCACACCTGTAAAAACGGGAATATCCATAGGCACAGTAGCTGTATAGGGTTTATTCAATCTCACTCCGAAATTGCGTTCTCCACTCAAGAGAAGTAAAATAAATACACCGATGTGCATTAAACCAACTCGTGCTAAAAATATCGAAAAGCTAAATATACATATATAATCTACTTAATTAAAAATATAATTCATTTAATGTATTATTCCTCCAATCAAATTCTGAGATATTTTAAATTACGTATTTCTTCTGAAAAAATCATCAATTACTATATATAATATGTAATTAAATGTTGAATTAAAAACAGTATGATAATATAAATATAAATGAGTAAAACAAAAAACAAAAAAATACAAACTTACATTGGTCAGCACGCGAATCATTTAAGTGATAAAGAATCGGCACAAGAACCTCAAGAACATCCGAGCTCTTTAGCACATAATATAAAAACTTCTTGTTGTAATCACACATCTTCCAGAAGAAGACTAGCAGCTCTTGATGAAAATGCACTTTTTTGGTCGAGTTCGGCAGATACGTTTGCATTAATGGATTATTCAACAGTCTAGTGATACCCTTTAGGACAAATTGGAAATCTATGGAAACAAAAACATACATTTCAATCTATTTCTATATACTTATTTTCTCATCTTTCTAGGTATTTGTTTTTTATCTATAAATTGACATTCACAATTAACCAAAAAATTATTAATTGCAAATATTATACTTCAGAATCAAAGAAAAAATGTTTTTAATTTTACTCCTTACTTAATTTTAAACATATATTGCTTTAACAAAACTTTAAATAAAAATCTAATTATACAAAAATGTATAAAATTAAATATTAAAATTTTTTACCACATCCAGTCAATTTTTATCATTACCTATTGTATATACATATTGAAATATGTAAAAAAGATGTTTACATTGCATTATAATAATATATTAAATATTAAATATTACCTTCATCACGGTGGATTCGACTCAAATAATTAATGAACAAATTGTCTCCGACTGCTCCTTCTTCCAATGGTATTCCACCAGTAGTGTCATGATCTAAAGTTACAATCAAGATTTGCAACGCGACATCGACCAGCGGCTCTAAGGAATCGGTGAACAGTAAATGATTGTATGGCACTCCATATCCGACAGGATCGTATGCGCATACTGTGTTTAAAAGCGATGTAAACATAGGTAAAGCGTGTCTGTGAACAATCGTATGTAATTACAAATTAAATAAAAAATATGATGACATATAAATATCCTATGTAATTGTTGGATTATTTTAGTGTACTATTTAAATATATTATATGTATAAGATATGTTCCATGATTGAAAAACTTGTATACAAAGATACAAATAATATAACAAGTATAAAAATATATACATTATGTACAGTTATACTGAAATAATTACCTGTTTTCACTGCTAGTCAAATGTTCAATCCATCTGTTCGGTGTGATTGATAGATCCATCGGCGGATTGTACATGGTTTCGCTGAAGCATGTCAACAAGAGCTTCAACAATTCCGTGCGGTTGGAATCTAGAATGGGATATCTGGGTGGTGAATATGCGAAGCCTACTCCCGCTTCCCATATATATTCACAACTGTCTATCGACTGCAACTCATCGGCTTTGTCCTGTAAAGACATTACGAGGCATAACACATTCCGCATTTCTTATCGAAACTCCGATATCTAACGAGGACTCACCGGACCGGATTTCCTGTTTGCAGTTACGGTAAAATCAGGGCAAAACAATAGATCCTAAAATAGAAATGGATTTAAGATCAATTACTTTACAGACTATAGATATACGTTCTACACTACTATAACATATTATTCTCATATTATATATAAAATATTAAACATCTAATTCATTAATAAATAATATAATTTTTCAAGTATTTCAAATTTTAATATAATTTTATTATTAATAATAAAAATTTAAACATACATTTTAGACTATAATAACAAAATTATGAAAATATTTAATATGTCATTATCTACTTTAAATATATCTCTTACACAAAGCGCGTTCAATAAAGAATGTGCCAATGGTAAGCTCTCTTCGTCATCTTTGCCAGGTAAACTGGACCAAAAGAAGCCTTTCCAATCAGGATCCTCAAATATGTAAGGTAACAAGCGTGTCAGCAAGCGACAGCAGTTCAAAACAATCTGATGCTCCCGTTGAGTTCTACAGCTACTATCCACCGCCTTTACTAACTTCTCGACAGCCTTGTAGCATAATGTGGCTAAATTGGAAGGTGCCTCTTCTCTCAACACACGAATTTCCGGAGCTGGAATTAAGGTGAAGATGTCCTGAACGTTGGTCACATTCTCAGACCAGAATTGATCCCAGAATATATCGTCCGATGCATCGATCACCTGTTGGTACAATTGCAAAAATAAAATTTATGTGGTACGATAACTTGAAATGAAATTTTGATAAATTCATTAATCTTCATCGTTCAGTACATAACATATATTTCAGGCTTTTCTAATTTAACAACTGATTATAAATCAAAAATTTTAATATGATAAAATTAGAGATTCTGTAATAAAATATAATGAACAATGAGCAAGAATAAGAAAGAAGGATATATATATATATACTCTTTTTATATGCCATCTCACTCTGACTTATATTATTTTATTCTAACTTACAAAACTATGAGTCACTCAAAAGTTTGTTCATCTTGTGATCAGACTTTATTATTTAAGATCTCTAAGTAAAACAAAGTATACTGACATATGTGCAGAGAGTAAAAATCTAATCTTTATTATTATATATACACAATTTTCACAATTTATTTATTATAGCAGTCATTGTAGCAATTAAACAAATCTTAAAACAGCTTGTATTATTATGTTTCAATAATCTCTATCAGCAATATCAAGTTTTACATGACAACATATGTTAATCCTTTTTTTTATTTAACACATTAACATTATGTATATATAAAATAAAAAATGCAGATATTCTGGATTTTTTTTATTCATCACAGAGATTCAACGATTGCCAAGATTTCGTCGAGAAATCATACTTATGTCAATCTACCACCGATCATATGTCATTCGTCAAGTAAACAAGCGAATATCTATACCTGAGTTTTCGACGTTAATTGCACCACAGCTTTCCGAAAGTTCAGCTTTGTATCAGCATTGCCCATTGCGTTCCTCGTCGTCACCAGTAACAATTAAAGATTCGTCGCAGTCAAAAGGGGAATGAAAATGTGTCGCTGCTCTTTAAACGGACACCATCATCGCCATATTTGCATTGTGACAGCGGGCAGGATTATAGCTGATCAGAGCTACCAACCAATGTTACTTTTCGCGCGAAAAATATGAATGAAAAAAACAAGGTACTCGATTCCCATTACTGGAAAGCCGTTGGAAATACTTGGAAATCCCGAGGAGAGAAAAGGAAAGAATTATAAATTGTATGTCTTTTTAAATTATCTGCAGAGGTTCAACTTTATTAAACCAAACACAATCTACCTTGAGAAAGAAACTGAAACATTTATCTTACATACTATATTATATAGACATGTATATATATATATATATATAATTTATTTTTTTCGAATAACGTTTATGCTTTAAAAATAAATATATATAAACTTTATAAAAATTAATCATTTCTTCATCATTTCTGTTTCGCTTTCGAATAATGTTTGTGCAACTCTTTTCATTTAGAAATTATGTTTATCCTCTTCTTGTTGACAAATTACTGTTTTCTGTGCTGTTAACTGTTGCTTTTTGTTCCACTCTTCCATCTTATCAATAGAGATCCATACATCATTTGCGAGTAACTCTGGCTCTTCAAATGCTGCGAAATGACCTCCTCGAGGCATTTTGGTAACTCGTAAAAGATTCACGAATCGTGTTCTCAGTTCGTTTGGACTTTGAGTCAAGATTTCGTAAGGGAACTGTACACAAGCGCTAGGAACCTTTATCGGTGTTCTATAAAAAAAAAGACGCTTAATGTTTAACATTTATACATTGCAATAATAACAACTTGCGATAACAATTACATACGATTCCAAAATCCTCATCAAGGATCTATTCGACTTGGTATAGTATTCAGCGTATATTCTCATAGCTGTAGTAATGCTATTCGACATCCAATAGATCATCAGATTATCGATCAACTCCTCGTATGTATATTTCTCTAGAAATCCACCGTCTGCTCTATATTTGTAAGACGGATTTGTACCGGTTGAAAATTTTTCAATGATATACGCCGCCAAACCAGCAGGCGAGTCGTTTAGACCGACCCCTAAAACACACAATGCTTTGAAAATACTAGATTTTCATTCATTAAATATGCGCAAAATTTTCTTACACATTCAATTAATAGAATATAAATGTACGTTAACTCTTTTTTGCGTAATTGTATGATATAAATACGTCGCATACCAACTGTATCCGGCTTCGTAGCTTGAATATGATAATATCCAGCCTCTCCAGTAAATAAAAGACCAGTTCTTTTTTTAGTTTTTCCCCAAGGCAAAAACGATTCTTTCAAAAGAGTCAGTGCTGTTTTTAGTAGGGTCCATTTATTGAACACTAGGCACAAATTGGAATGCAAACCCAAAACGCTGCAATTTGCACAACATATATATCACTATTTAATCAAATTTAGTAATATAGTATAGTTATTATATAACTACTGATGTAAAATGTATATGCTAATCCAATTCAATTTTATAATGCCAGTTGTCATAAAACCAGGTTTAACATACACAGCATACTTTATTATAACAGACATCCTCAGAATTTCTGGAAATTTTAGATAAGACGTCCTCTAAATGTTCTTAAAACGTCTTTTGAATATTTTTAAGATGTCCATGAAAGTCTATATTATATAAAAATTAGCGTTTATACAACATTTTACGTCAGTAGTTGATAACCTTATTAAATCTGATTGTAATGTGCAAATCATTATTAAGTATCTTTAAGCATCTTTAAAGATAGACATATCAGATTTAACTGATAATTTTAGGCAATAAACTTACTGTTGCGGATATAAACATGATATAGTGTGGATGACGGAGGAACCCCAATCGCCACCTTGAACATAATATTTATCATACCCGAGTCTCAACATGAGATTCTTAAAAACCACACTCATTTGAATGGCCGAAAGTTCAGGTATCGTAGCTGCGCTGGAGAAACCAAATCCAGGTAGCGAAGGCGCTATCACTTCAAATACAAAATCGTACTCGGGTTTCGGTGAGGTCAGTAATGGAATGATTTTATAAAATTCCATTATGGAGCCGGGCCATCCGTGCACAATTAGTAATGGCAAAACACGTTTTCCTTCTGTTTTTTTCTTATTTGGTTTCACATGGATAAAGTGAATGTCTAATCCTGCGTTAAATATAAAATATGTAAATCTGTAACTCAATGTAACATTAAAAAATAATAACATAAAAGTATATGTAATCAACTTTGATACTGAAATCATCTTATAGATTTCTCTAAATATGTAAAATTGAATTCTCAGATCGAAAAAGTAGTTCGAATACTTATTTCATCCAAGATTTCGTTTTAATTTACTTAAATTTATTTTACTTAAATAGATATATAAAATTTTGCATAATATATATAATATTAAAATAAAATAAAACACATAAAATTACAACAGAATATACAATTATAATTTAAAATCTTATTATAAGTAAAATTATAGAATTTACATCAGTATAAATAGAATTAGAAATAAAATCCTTATGTAATACTAAGGATTCTAAAATCCTTACGATTACATAAGCATCTTCATAATAGTCTGCAAAG